GACAGCTGAAATGTATAATTCACAAAGTAACATAAACTGAATGGATGCATGTCCTCTCAGGTATGCCTTCGTTTTCTTGCTTATTGAGGTGACTTTATTTACATGGTTTATTGGAGGCCTATTTACATTTTCGATTCACTGTTTTTTAATAGGCTACCATGAAGAAAAAGTAGGCACCCACTGAGGCAACAACACAGCAGTGATTTTAAAATATTTTTCATCAGTACATCAAAGAAAAAGTTTACAACTGTTTACACTACGAAGAGTATTAAACCTAGTTATTACAAATATATCATTATGTCATATAATATGATCAAACAATATAATAAATATAACATGAATTATGTCATTATCACCTATCATTATTACATCGGGTATTTCCCTGTTTTATTGTTTTATGGTATACAAATGTTGTGTGATTGGTTGTAGATGTCAATTGTTTTACTCTACCTAATTTTTAATAGGCCTATATTTATCTCTTCACATGGTAGAGCTAAATGTACTAACATTAAGTGTTTTAAAATTGTCATCTTGTATTATTAGGATTTATTATATTCAAATCTAATTCTCATTTTTAAAGAGGAAACAATATATGTGAAAAAAAAAATGTAGATAATCCATTAAATTGTTAGTTGTGTGGTGAAAAGTAAGCAAACAACAGAAAAGAGCAGGTTTAAAATTAACTGAAGTTGCCAAAACAAAACATATTAAGGTCATAATATGAGGTCATATTAATGTTGGGAGAGTCTTGGTGACCACTCCTGCCATCATTACGCTGACCTGGTGAAGCTGTTTACCAAAAGCTTGGCAGTGAACAAAAGACAAATGTGTACAAAGCACACCTTTGGATGACTTGCATTTGTTCACCTGTGTCAACAGAACAGGACCACAGCTGTAATTACTGGCTACATGAATGTGTCCTCCTTGGCCTGAATCCATCAAACGTAATAAACACCAGCTCAGTGAATGCATGGCTAATGTGATTATTTTTCATTGAACCTGGAAGCAAAGTGGACTATAAAATACTTTTTCGAGCTGAGTGGGACCCCTGTGTCCTTTGTCAAAACTTTAACGTCATGTCTTTTCAGTATACTGTCAGTAAAAAATGACAACACAGATGTGCATTATGATAATGTGCTGCATCTTGTTGTGTGGTTTTTATTTCATGTCACTTAGAAATAAGGCAACGGGTACAGTTATTTTTTTTCTAAACAATGCTATTCAACATAATAAAACAACAGTAAACCTATGTTTTAGACCTTTTCAGAGCTAATGTTTCTGTTCCAGTGTAAACCAGTACGACAGAAAAACCCTTAATGTGTAGGTAACAGCACTTTTATCTAGCAAGGTAACGATTAAGTAAGGATCGGGTTGGATGTTAGTTTAAAGATAATCCTTGAAGCTACTTACAACTTGGACATAGCAACTTATGTTTGCATTCAACCAAGTGCTAGGAATGACTTAAAACATCCCTTGGTTAGGGTTTGAAAATTACAGAGGGTTAAAGGGACATGGACTGAAAAAATAACTTTCTGGTGTTTACCAGAAATTGACCTGTGCTCCGGAGAAATTTAACATGCTCACAAGAAAGTTTTACATGTGCACATGAAACTCTTTGAGATATCTCTGGCTCATATGAGAATGCAGACATGCAGAGAAGGGTTGAGCCGCTGTGATGAGGACTAAAGCCTCTGTACATGAGGTACATGATATAACCACTGGGCTATACAGTGCATCAGTGTATCTTGTGTCAAGACAGTTTCTGATGAGCACGATAGGCACATAGTTTTCTGTGTGCACCTGAAACTTTTTTTCTTCTTCCCATGTCCCCTTAGAGACTCTGTAAAAATGTATATTTGTGTCAGTTTAGTCAAAAGTGTTTAGCATTTTTCATTTCATTGCGTTTTGTTAATGTAGGCCTACATGATTTGAGTAACCCTCACACTTCAGATAAAAAAGGGTCTCGTTGACTTGCATTTTGACAGTCCATCGCACCTGACCCCAACAACAAGCACAGGTTTTACTCTCTTGGCTTACATCAAACTTTTCAGACGATTTAACACATTGTGCCACCACATTTTGCTGTGCTAAGAAGTTGTGGTCAGTTAATTTATATCTGTTACAATCATATCTTTCCCTGTTACAAAATTCAGTGAAATAGTCCTTTCAATTAAAATTACAAAATTGTCTCTGCTGGCAATAAGCCTCATATTGTGTCCAGGCATGACTAGGAATCATTTTACTCATCCATATCTGTGTAAGAAAGCCTATAAGCTTGTTTGTCACAATTTCAAAATACCTTTAAGAGTTTTACTATTTTTGCTTCAGCAAGATCTTTAAAAAATACTTAAAACGTATCCACAAAGCACGGTGAGTGAGAAAATGTGTGGTTTGGTTTTGTAACAAAAGTCGTTATAGCCTGTAGGCCTACATAGCCTATCGGGTTTTGTTTTTGTTTTTACAGTGACGTTCTATATATAGCTGTATATAAAGGCCCAGCCTACTGTATGCCAGAACCCAAATTTTGCATGTCTACTTTAAATCTTCATTGTTTTATCTTTGCTCATACAGATGTTAAAAGTGGATTTCTGACCAAAGACAACATGAAGGCCTCCTCTCTACAGTCTCTACTGCCACCAACAAGAAGATACGCTCATATTTTGAGCCCAGTGTTGACAATAGGCACTTCTGGCCCTTTGTGATCTATTCAAGGATATCAGAGCGCTCTCATCTGTTTGAAAGTTTGCACACACTGAGCCGGTACAAACAGATTACCAGCCGCACCATTAGTGGGCCGATGTGTCAGCCATGGACTACCTGTCATCAGTGGTCAGACGACTCCTGTGTCATTTTGCGGCAATATGACCAGCGGGTATGTCTGCCCCTGACGGGATCCCTTTTCAGTCGTGCTGGGTAACAACAAGAAGTGTTTACGTGGGCTAAATTTATACTTCCAGGACAAAAATATGAGAATGACTTACCTCATGTGGCCTAACACTTACAAGCCAGGGCTAAAGAAGAGAAAGACTCCATGCAATCTTAACTGCAGGGCAGTGCGTCTGAGGCTGGATCAAGTTATTCATCTATTCTTCATGCAGGGATTGTGTTCTTTTTGTGTTTTTTTGTGCTGGGCTTTTACACCTTGTTGCATCAGAGCTAGAAGGTGTTAGTCGGCTACAGCTCTATTGACAACAAGCCTAAATAACTGAGGAGGGGCTCATGAGGTGTCCCAAGATTGTATGACACTGGACGCAGCAAGATTACAAAACATCTTAGTAACCAAGACACTCTTAAAAAAAGACGTCAAAATTGTTATCTGTTCCCATTTTTGGAACAGCTCTGTGGTCTTTGTTGAAAACCACCACCACCTGAGGTCTAGGACGTGTGCCCAACAGAGAACGATAAACATCAAAGGTCATTGTCTGACTGTGACGACCTGGCCACCTTTCCCAAAAGGACAGCCCTTGTTTCCAGGGAATGAAGTGGTAAACATCTGGCAGCTGTTTCAGATCAATACAACATAGACGTTCAAACCAACGTGAGATCACACACAGATGTGTTTGTCTGGCACAGCTGGAGGTTTCAAAGGTTCCCTGACCCCCAGCTGGAGCAAGATGAACAAATTGTGTCATCCAGGTATTTCTCGTAACCAACTGTTGACCTCTGCAAGGAAGGCAAATCTCAGGTTCTTAAACATATATCTTTCGGCTAAGGTATAATATACCATATTATTTAATACCATAGATTGTATACACTAAGTTGAAGTGTCTTAAACATGCATTCTTTATGATGCCCAGCAGGGGGAGACACTAATGATTGCAAAAGTAGTCCACTTATATGCACCCAGAAAGTAAAATGACTATGCTTCTTTGGAAAGCTTTGTGAATATTAAATACCTAAACTTAATAAACATTAAAGATAAATTTAGTGTAATTACTTTTTATTTTAAGGGCTGCAGTAGCTCAGTCTGTGAGGACCTGGGTTGGGAACCGGAGGGTCGCCCGCTCAAGTCCCATTGCAGGCCAAATCTGGAAATTGGTCTCGTAGCTGGAGAGGAGCCAGTTCACTTTCTAAGCACTGCCGAGATGCCCATGAGCAAGGCACCAAACCTCCTACCCCCCCCCCCCCACCAGTCCAGCAGCGCTCGCTACCTCTCCCCTCACTCTCCATAAATGCATAGCCATAGGATATTGTTTATGCATGTGTGTATTTCAGCCTGTGTGTGTGTAGCATGTTCAACAACAGAATGTAAAATTGATAATTGAAAATAAAGTAGGCTATATCTACATTCCATTTAAAGGTTTTTATTCAAATTCAACTTTAAAGACAGCTTACAGTATGCATTAAAAAAATAATTTTGTTAGACATTTGCCACGTCCGACAAATAAAAAAAGACAGACAAAAAAAACAGGCAGAAAACAACAACAAAAAACAAACAAACAAGCAAAAAGAACAATCAGAACCAAATAAAAATCACATAGGAGGTCACTTAACGAAATATTAGACACATTTAATAAAGTGTATTTCAACCTCCCACCTCTAGGAGGCAGTAAGGAGACAATCTGACAGAGCTCACTCGCACACCACGCGGAAGAGCTTTCAGACCTTCACAACACCAGCATGTGAACATCTGCTAACTTCTACTACATTTGTATCAATTCTGATTTCTAAACTGTGTTTTTCAATTTGTCCTTTGACCAAAATGTCTTCAAAAAGCCGGGATAACGACGATAACTTTGAAGGACAGTCTGAACTCAAGGAGGAGCTGAACAAAAAGGTAACATTAGTTAGGATAATATAATAAAATATAGCCTAATAATATAACAGTACAAATATGAGCTTGTCAACATGTAGCGAATAATGGGATAGTTACATCGGGATGTAATTCAATAAGAAATACGTCAAATTGTAAATATACGGACATTCTCACCTGTAATTTCACCTTAATCTGGCTATTAAAATATATAAATGAAAACATTAAATTGCTAATCTACTTGCAGATCAAGGAGCAGAAGGTCGTGGTGGACGAGCTTTCAAATCTGAGGAAAACGAGGGTAAGTACAGTGTTAAAGAAAAGCTAAAGTCTACGTGACACCGACTTTAACCCTTTATTTATTCGTTTATTTATTTAAATGTGATCATGCCCGGTGTTTCGCTTTAAAGAGTGACTGTGTTAACTGGTACCTTCCGGCCGAGTTCGTGACTGTGGTTGGTTGTCATGGTTACAAAAGACAATGAAGTCGAAAAGTGTCATAGTCAGTGGTGGACATAGTAGCCCACACAACTTCATGACTTGAGTCAAATGTGACTCCAATATAGGTGAGAGTTTCTCAGTGACATTATTACCAGAGTTAGTACTGGACTGGAAAAGTTGCTTTTTAAAAATACTCAAGTACGCAAACTTAAAGAAAAATGTCAGAACATTGTTGTATTTTCACAATGCATGTATGCAGTCAGGAATACATGGGTGTCCAGTCTGCTACATTTACATTTATTGAACGCACATGATACAGATTTGCAGATTTGCAGCTCCAAAATAAAAAGAACAATGACAGGAACAACCAAAAACACCTGATGAGCTGATGGCAAAATGTCAGCCAGGCTTTACACAGAAAGAAAACATTCGCATTTCAAACACGGGCTTTATGATATGACCATGGATGATCGGGTGGAGAATAGTCGCCATCATTACCACCACTCAATGAACTGTCTTTTCTCAGTGCCGTTTGCTCTGCGTTATCTCTGTGTTTGTTCTACGTTAAACCATGGAAACGTGTTAACCTGGTCACTCTATATACTGCCCTGCAAAGGCAAAAGGCAGTAACTTCAACTTTTCAAAAATGAGTTTTTGTCATTTTTGTGTGATTTGTGTTGTTTTTTAAAGAAAATAGTAGGTTGTATTTGCCTTAACTTTCAAAAGCCCTCGAGAAAACAAGGCAGAGGCAAAGATTTTTATGAACATTAATAACCTCATTAAAAGACAAAGAATTGCCACATTTCCAATGTTCTACCTGCAACTCATTTGGCTTCGCAACAAAAATACCCTAAAGTCATTTTTCTCAGTTCTACACTCTGGCGAGTTAAGGTCTCTTGCCTTTGTAGGGCAGTATATATCACTCTTTTAAGTGTAACACCGGTAAACTTTGAAGAGAATCGTGCTTTTTGGTGTGAGAACAACATGCATTAACGTACATTTTGTCTGTAATTTCCCCCCAGAAAGTCTACGTCCAGCAGAGGAACAGCAACATCTTCTTTGTAGCTGACAGAGGTCAGACACTGAGTTCAAGCAAAAGTAAGTTCAGAGCTTCAAACTGGAGTAAATAAACATTATTGGGGTTGATAAGTGAATCAAAGAAAGCTGTTTCAAATTGATCATAAAGCATTGTATAATCACAGAAGAGTAACGGGGTCGGTCAGGAGAGAAAGATTTTTATTGTGCACTATAAGAACAGGTCGTCAGGAGAGATGAAGGATTGTTGTGGATAAAACTTTGTCTGCTCCCTGCTGCTCTCTGTATTTGGCTTGATAGATAGATAGAAAGATAGATGCAGTACTTTATTTATCCTCAAGGGGAAATCACTTTGTAATAGCAGCTTCATCAACATTCAACAAATACAAAACTAAAAGCCAAACTTGTAAAAGATTAATTTGTTTGTATCTGAATTCTGTTTCTTCTAAGTGTTGTTTTTATTGTAATTTAAATGACATTGGCTGTAAACAAAAATCCTATTTCCTCCGGGGATCAACAAAGTAATCATCCATCTAATCTAAATATTCTTCAGTGTGTCGTAGATAAACATTGAGGATGTTATTTTCTGTTTCCAGGGGAACTGGATAACCTGAAGAAGGAGCTGCAGGATTTGTAAGACTTCACCACTTGACCACCACAATGTGTGGTATATTCTGCCTGCTGAGTCTATCACCTGCTCAGTTTGAGCGCGACAAAAAGATTTATGAACATTTAAAGAGGAGAGGGCCTGACTCCAGCCAGGATCTTACAGTAAGAGGTACACATTCCTGCTATCACTGTCTGTTCTCTGCCCATGTTCTTCACATGAGAGGTATTCTCACCACTCAGCCGGTTCAAGACAGCGCTGGAAATGTCCTCCTGTGGAACGGGGAGATTTTTGGAGGTGTCCCTGTGAAGCCAGAGGAAAACGACACTGCTGTTATCGCTCAGCGTCTTTCATCCTGCAACAGTCCCTCAGAGGTTGTGTCAGTTTTGTCCACTATACGCGGACCATGGGGGTTTGTTTACTACCAGAGGGCTGCGGACTGCCTCTGGTTTGGCAGAGACTTCTTTGGTAGGCGGAGTCTGCTGTGGAAATTTGATGAGAGCATAAACGCCTTGACTCTGACCTCTGTTGCAGCCTACAGTTCTGGACTTGATCAGTCTGCTTGGCGAGAGGTCCCAGCAGCTGGTGTGTACAGGATCGATCTGAAGGCAGCCACAGAAGCTGGTTCAGTGATGTTCGAGGTTTTTCCCTGGGCTCATGGAGGAAATCATCCCGACTCGGGCTGCAGTGACACTATATTGGAGTCTGTGCCAAGCTGCTGCAGTGCTGTGATGAACGAAGCAGGCCTGGTGCTCACCTCACCTGTGTGCCCTCTTAATACATCCATCCCAGAGTCAATAAATGAAGAAGAAATTCATTCAGACTCATGTATTAAGGATTTGGAGCAGCTGCTTGCCAGCAAAGAGAAACAACACGAGGTGAACGGTCTTATAGATGTTCTCAGCGAGGCGATACGACGACGTGTTCAGGCTCTGCCTTTCAGGATTCAGGATGATCCCCCTCCCACTTATGACCACGCTCGTGTTGCTGTCCTTTTCTCAGGAGGAATCGATTCAATGATCCTAGCTGTGTTAGCTGATCATCACATACCTGCTCATGAACCAATAGACCTTCTGAATGTAGCGTTCAAACTGCAGGAGCCAAAGAAGCAGAAAGAGTCTGCAAAGAAACCCAAAAAGCACAACAACAAACCCACACACGATAAACCTGGTGCTGAGTCACAAACATCCGGCCCCTTTGACGTTCCAGACAGAATTACAGGAAGAGCTGGTCTCAAGGAATTACAAGACTTGAACCCTGAAAGACGGTGGAATTTTGTTGAAGTCAATGTAACGCAGGAGGAGCTGCAGGAAATGCGACAGGAGCGCGTGTGTCATCTGGTGTATCCACTGGATACGGTGCTGGATGACAGCATTGGATGTGCTGTGTGGTTTGCATCCAGAGGGAAAGGGTTCATCTCCGAGGACGAGGACGACCAGAAGCCCTTCACATCGTCAGCAAAGGTGAAGAACAGACATCAGACATTAGACTTTAAAAAGTCCAAATCTACTGATTCTTATTTCTAAAAAATATATAATAGCTGTTGATATGTTTCACAATCCTCCACTTCCATACTGAAGCTTTTCAGCTTTTCTGTGTCGCTCCTTCATCCTGCAGGTGATTTTAACAGGAATTGGAGCAGACGAGCAGCTCGCCGGTTACTCCAGACACAGAGTCCGATTTAAAACGTCGGGACACGAGGGACTGATCCAGGAGCTGGCCATGGAGCTGGGCAGGATCTCTTCCAGGAATCTGGGTCGAGACGACCGAGTGATCGGCGACCATGGGAAAGAGGCGAGGTAAGTCTGTCTGAAGCGCAGAGTTAAGAGTTAATAAATCTTCAAAAGGTTAAAACATTTACATCCCTATCAGAGATTCACTATGGGGCAAGTTGTTATGTTTTCATTCAGTATATATTTTTTTGATGAGGATTCTGTATTCCTTGAGGACTAACATGTGTTGAGTGCTCTGTCCTGCTCTGACTGTGAAGTCAATCAAAAAGTGCATTGTTTGCATCAATGTTTGCTTGCGTCCAGCCCTGCAGAGCTGGGGTGAATTGCTTTGAACTGCAAAACTTGATGGATCTGATTGCTCTTCATTTTCATTCATGAAAATATGATCAACACTTTCTGTGAATAATGTAGCTACGGCTGTCATTTCTCAAATCAAGTTGCTGTCAGAGGTTATAAGCTGTTCTTTTTAAAAGTTGTTTGGTAGTTGATTTAGCTTTGTCCCCTTATTACTGAAGATATTTGGTGAATCTTCTGAAAATATATCAATAAAAGAAGCTAAGTGCACTCTGCTCATTACATTGAGTTATCCTTACCTCCATTATCAAGAGTAGGATTTCTGACTTATGTAACTCTGGCCTCTGCAGGTTTCCGTACTTGGACGAGGACGTGGTGAGCTTCTTGAATTCTCTCCCCGTGTGGGAAAAGGCCGATCTGACGCTTCCTCGAGGTGTCGGGGAGAAACTCCTCCTGAGATTGACAGCGAGGCAGCTCGGTCTCGGCCAATCAGCCGTCCTGCCTAAGAGAGCCATGCAGTTCGGCTCCCGCATCGCAAAGATGGAGGATAAACGCGAGAAGGCCTCGGACAAATGCACAAGACTGCTGACAGGGTAGACTGTATGAAAATCATTTTAATAGAAAATGTTCATTATAAAATCACATCAAAAATAATATTAAAAGGTATATTTACAGGTGTAGTTCTTGATTTATTATTTCAGATTATTTTTTTTTACTAGGACCAAGATTTCATATTTGATTGGGGTTATCTAAACTTTTCTTTTTCTCAAGGTGAAATAAATATGGCAGATTTTCTACACCATGTAAGAGTCGACATCTTGTTTTTCTTTGAAGTAAAGGTCACATTCGATATAGGAGGGCAGGTTTCCGACATCAAAACGCCCAGAGATCTCATGAATGTAAACAGGTTTCCTGAAAGGAGAAGAAAAACAAACAGGTCCATGTTTATTAAGAAACACTCTGATTTATAAATACTGTTCATGTTAGCTGAGTATCTTCATCATTGAGCACATGCAGACGACAAGAACAGGGAGTGTCACAAAGCAGGATTAGAGAATCATTTGTACGACTTTGTTGAGGACGATGTGGAGCTGAAGGAAACTCAAAGGTCCTCCAGAATCTACCTGGGAATGAGCCACGACACAAAGATTCCCGGAGCATCTTTCTCCTCAATAGGAGCCTCCTGTAAATAAAAACAGTGTGCATAATAGTTAACAAACAAAAAAAACACAGCATTTACTCTTAATTCTCATAATGTGTCAGACATTTGAGTTATTTATTTGACCTTCTTTTCCTCCATGAAGGTGTCCAGCAGGGGAAGGCTTTTCTTAGAAAACACATAGAAACAGGGACACTGAAAGTCAAGAGAGAGATTAGAAATGAAATGTAAATGCTGTTTAAATACATTCAGAGTAAATGTTGGGTGTCATCATTTGATGATCATTCCTGTAGCCCTTTTGCTTTTTTAAACACCTTTGTGTACTGTGAATGATGGATGAGCTGACACTGACTTGATTCTGTTGGTGACAATATTGAATATTCTGCTTCTAATAGTGTTATATTAGGCCAATACAGGTTTACAATCTGTAGACCTGATGTGGATGTACACACCCTCCGATTTAAGCCGATTGTCCGGACTTTAACCTTTGTATTCATTTCAAAATAAAAACAAGATAACTAAACGACACAGACAGTATTTCTTACTTTACTAATACAATCAGAGGCCATTATTTTGCCACTAAAGAAATCACTGAGACAGAGAATCTGGTGTGCAGGTCTTTCATCACTAAGCTCATGTATTTCAAGAGGATATGTATCGTACAATTTGAAGGTCGATCAACTCTTTTTTTTTATTTTATTCGGTGTTTATTTTGAACTCACAGCTCTCCTCGACTTTGTCTCAGAAGGAAGAGGTTTCTCCTTCATGCACAGGACGCGCAGATCACCGTCCACTTCCAAAATCCCATATTTACGAGTTTCTGTCCGGACACACAACACAGAAGGGATTTTGAGCAAGAGGCCGGACACTACATTGGACACTTCAGGATTTCACAAAGGTGCACGTAGAAGGTTTATTTCTTCAGTAGATTCTGAAAAGACTCACCCTCTTCTTTGCACTGATAAGACAGCACCAGACAGTCGTCCTCACACTTTGCTTGTAGGTCAGAAAATCTCTTCTTTACTTCACCGAGGCTGAAGTCTTCTTTAAAGAGTGTGTCGCTGTGAAACATAGAAAGGGTTCTATTCATTAGACAGAAACTGATTTTCATTTTGCTCCTATTGAAGGGTTTAAGATGTTTTAAGATTTTGCAGTACAAAATGACGAACTGGTTCAGAAAGTTTAAGAAGTGCTCCAGCTGTTGCTTCACCTGTGAGCAGGCTGTGATGGCTGCAACTTATGATGATCTGAACAAAGTAAGTCCACTTAAATAGCTTGTTTTTGCCACTGACTGGCCAACATTTCTGTCTCACATATTAGAAATGATCCCTGCAGAAACAAACATTTTGGTTCAAGAGTAGATGCTTCTATGTTTATGAAACCAGACTCCACTGATGTATACTACTCTCATCCAAACCACCAGACTCCATTGATAGAAAACTGTCATTTCCACACAGAGAATAAGAGTTGCTTGTCTACCACTGCCTCAATTTGTGAGTTTTCAATTCAAGGTATCAGTAGACCAGCAGCACCTGCAAGGTGAAACTACTGTTTCATCAACTGAGTGTGGTTGCTTTAAAGAGGGCATTGTAATGAATGTTGATTACCGTATGTACGCTATTTCTCTGCAGAGATCCTGTGCATAATGTCCACAGACACTTCTTATATCAGTATGATCCCACCAGTGGCAAATACCTGCACATTTACAGGATGTTATTTGATCGAGCACATTTGATCGAGCCTTTTCTGGGCTGCAGGCTGAAGCAATGCAATGCTACACTTTTTGTACCCATCAGTCATTTAGCATCAACATATGCAACAATAGGTCGATATTTTACAACAGGAGTTCCCAACAGCTCTAACATACCCTCCAATAACAACCACATGGTCTTTGATGTTGAAGTGCGTTACTGCCAGTTGCAGACAGGCCACAGCACCAAGACGCTCCTGTTCACATAAGAAAGTTACTTCAATTAGAGTTTGACTACTGAAAAGAAAAGTTCAGTATAAGACGTGGCCCCCTCAGATGTATCTTATTAATTAACAATACATTTAAACACAAATTTTATTTTACATCGTTGCTTTTTGTCCCATCGCTGAGAATCTTGACGTTTGTGAAATGTGAGGCCCACTCTTCAAACGCCGCGTGGTACAGAGCGTTTGTCTATAAAGAGAAAAACAGGAGCGTCAGTCTCAGTTCAGGTTTATATAAAGGGATGATTAACAGCCTTGATGAAATTTCAAATGTATATCATATCAAGCATGAGTCAAACATATCTAACTGTGACTGAATTCCAAACTCCAGAAGATGTACTACTTGAATAGCAGTTAAGAAAATGTTATTTTGCCCTTAAAAACATTTTCTCTCAACTCATCATCCTCTTGTTACATTTTTTTTTTAACAATAAGTCAAAAGGAAAATGCGAAAATGGGCATTTAAGTGTAATGTTTGTAAGACTTATTATTTGATTATTATTTCCATTGTTGATGCATTAACATGTAACAAGAAGACATGTTTCTGTAACAAAAAGTAAAGCACAAGACGTGCAGATTTTGTATTAATTATAGGTTATAAGATTGTGTTTAGAATTATCTGTCTATAGGAGAGAAAAGGGAAACGGAAAAAAAGAGGAAGAGGAAGAGGAGGCAGACATGATGGAGATGAAAGTTGTTTGGAGCCCCCCCCCCATACATTTTTGCCCAGGGCCCCAACAGACTCAAGAATCACACCTGCTCCTTATATACCTGTCCTTTAATATTCATATAGTGTACTATGCTTTATAATAATCCAAGTAAATGAAAGACTACTACTTTGAAAACTAAAATAAACTGTTAGGATACTGTTTTTTACCATTATCATTTCTAATCTGATCTTTTCTGTGGAAACTCTTAATGTGATAATCAACTAGAAACTAACTTTTTCATTAATGGAGTCAAAAGTATTTTTTTCTTCCATTTGCACAATATGATGCAAGTACCTCAAATTGTACATTTCACCTTTGACACGCTGTGCTCTTTTACTTACAACAACATAAATGCCGTCCACACACCCAGAGGAGGTCAGAGCATTGACCCAGTGTGATATCAGAGCACATCGTCCCACCGGCAGCAGCGGTTTGGCAACACCGGCCAGGTGAGCGAACCTCCCGCTGCTGTCTGCCACCACATCCCGCTGCAGCCTGGTACCGTACCCGGCGGCGAGAATTACAGCTTTCATTTAGAACTGAGAGAAACTCTGCTAAGTTTCACCTGTAAGCAGGTAACAGACTTGCTTACAGAACAGCGGAGGACAGAAAACTACTGTCAGAAAACTAGTACACAGTCCACGGAATAGATTCAGATAATCTCGCGATAGTTTTCTGGTTTCGCGAGATCAGCGGAATATAGCAACTTCCTGTTATTTTCCTAAATAAAAGTTGTTGTGTAAATGATTATATTAATTAAAAAATATTCATAAAATGATTTGCATGATTAAAGATCAGTATTAGTTTTTCGACATAAAAAAAAGCCAATTGTTTGTCCTTTTGGTAAATAAAAATGATATGTTTTATATTAAATCATACAAGTGAAATTAATTGTATGCATCTGTAACAAGTTGTTTAAGAATAAAAGATTGACTGCAACTCCTAACTGTGTGCTCTCTAATGTTTTTGGAGTGTGACTACTTGCATCCTTTCTGCATTAAGAGCCTAATTGTGGTTTGTGTGTACTTTAAAATATGTAACTGAGACTAAAATAACTAGGAATATCAAGAAAAATCAGAAAAAAAATATTAAAATGTAATATTAAATTATTATTATTGTATTATTAGATAATAATATAATAATAATAATAATAATAATAATAATAATAATAATATTAGACTGTGTGAATACAGAAGTACCGCAAAGTGTCCAGCAGGGGGCGCTGTCTCGGTGCTGCGTGTTTACCAACAGTAGAAGAAGAAGTGATGCCGCTAAACATGGTTGCTTTCCTGCAGGGCTAGTAAAGTTATCTAGCTTATAGAATATTTTACAGCTGCAACATTATTAAGTCATTCGGAATAGCAACAATACATAACCGTGGCCACGACGAAATAGAGAGTCTCTGTAGCTGTGTGTAAGTATCACATATCTGTTCTTAGTATGTTTTTATAGCTGGCGTATTTCACAATTCCGTTAGCATACTAGCACGCTAAACTAGAAACCATTATTTTGACTGGAAAGTCTTTTTTTTTTTTGAAGTCGTATTATTGGTGGATTGAAGCTATTGTATTTTAAAATTACATTTGGAAAGAAAAAGTCCTTATCAAATACTGATTTGAAACAATAAGTGGGGATTAGCTGTCACATTATACACAGTGAACGTCATTGTGATTAATCTCGATACTATTGAATCAATGAAGCATCGTATTTCTGTAATTTGTTAAGCAGGATTTAGAGTTTAAAAGGACTTTGAAGACCATGTTGTTCACATTGTGAGAGAAGCAGAAGAGCATCATGGATGTTTCTTCAGAGGAGGGGGACAGTGAAATCCCCCATGTCATCGACATGACCACCAGTGAAAAGGTACGACTCTGAAGAATGCACCTTGGGTTTGTTGTGTAAAATCATTTTAATTATGTTAAAATGTTTATAGAAGCTCCTATACTTCGTCTGTATAAAATGATTTTTGCTTGGGTGCAGTGAGATGCTTTTCCATGTCGTGTCTGTAAAGATAAATACCTATTAAAGCAAGTGCACTTCCATTCCAGGTGGTGGATCTTCTGAATCAGGCTGTCTTGACACCCACAGATGAAAAACTCACAGGGCTCAAACAGGTAAGTTTAAATCCAGCCTGAAAAACAACAATGTAAAGCAGTACGTACATGGAGGACTTTACTGAATCAATGTCATTTCCAGGTCCAGGAGCTCATCCTAAACAAGGATCCCTCTCTTCTTGACAACTTCTTGGATGTAAGTAAACCAAGTTTTCTTAACTTACTTTAGTTTAACCTGAAATACACAGGCTATTTGGTAAGCTGTATACAGTATAACACAGCACAGGGGTTAATAGTCATAAAACACTTCTTACATTGGCTTGTTTATGCTGTAGGAGATGATCGCCTTTCAGACTGACAAGTCTATCGAAGTGAGAAAATATGTCATCGGCTTCATAGAGGAAGCTTGGTAAGTTCTTATCCAGCCTTCTAATATTCCTGTTTATGAAAGCAAATCTTTTTCAGTTCTCAGTCTTTTTCTAATTTGTCTTTTCCAGTAAACGAGACAATGAGCTCCTTCTCAGGCTGATCGCCAACCTCAACATGTTGCTGAAGGACGAAAGTGTGAATGTGGTGAAGAAGGCGATCCTCACACTCACCCAGCTCTACAAAGTTACTCTACAGGTGTGTGATTTAGACACAAGAGTTGGAGCTCTTTCTAATGTTTTTATGTTTTTGTTAAAGAAAAACACAACAAAATATAGTTACTGCTAATAATATCGGTTGAGTTTTCACACTCTTCTGCCTCTTCCTTGCCAGTGGTTGGTGCGATCCAAAGCGGTATCAGA